AACTACACTGTGGGTATGCATGAGGGTGTTCGACCTGCGAACTATGCTGTGATGTTAGGGCTAGCTAAGGTTTATGAAGGAAAATTTTGACCTGTCACATTTAAAATGGAGTGAAAGAAACATATGGAAAGCTTGAACATTTTTGAGTCTGAAAGTGCCATTTCCAGGAATCTAGAGGTATCTATGTTAAAAATTGGCTTCAACCTCAATCCCAACCACTGGTGAGTCAATATTTTTGTGGTAGGAACATTTCTAGTGGCGAGGTAAAGCTGGAGTGCAAGTTTTCTTTTTTTTAAATTCTAAAATAAAATGGAGAAGAAAAGAAAATTATATTCAAATTTAAGTCTAAGATTGCCATTTCTGACCATCTAGAGGTGCCATAACTCTAAATGGTGGGGCTGAGGTGGTATTTTCCCCCCTATCTGTGAAAGTTCCTCCTTGGCCCCTTCTATTTTGATCCACCGCTATAAAGGAAAAATGGGTGGGCTGACATAGAAAAAAATGAAGATACTGTACACAATTTATGTCGGTCCGCTGCTGGTCTCAACAGATTGGAACTGGTTCCGAGCTTAAAAAGGTTGAATACCCGGGCTGTATTGTATAATAACATATTATTTTTGATCAAATAAAAAAATATGAATATATATAATATATAAAGAATATAAAAATTTGTTGATTTTCTTGTAATATAAATTCAGAAAGTAGGCTTTCATAATTATGTGTAAATTATCCCCTGGTGTAAGTTTGAAAGATTGACAACCAACTTGAACACCATTCATTCATCACTGAATGGATACCATAAAGTTACTGGCATTATTGTCCATCAAATGGCATTCAACATTTGCAACAGCCCTCACATAGTTTTTTGCATTCTTAATAATGATATAATGTGATGCTTTATTGCGCCTGTGTGCAGACAGTAAAGACTCTTTACGAGGCCTATACTGTAGGAATTGGAGTTGTTTTTAGTCATGAGAAAAGTCCTGCTGTGACAGGGCATGAATCTAGACCCTGGGATAAGTTTAGAAGGCAAGCATCTTAACCACCAAGCTATTCAATTCCATTACAAAAAATGAACAGAATGAATATCAAAGAGGTACTGCCATTATACATTTCAGGTGGCATTTAAAATGTAGACATTCAAGAAATGCTTCAGTCCTAATAAATAATGTGATAATCGATGTATCATATTGTTTTAGTTTGCCATTCATCACACCTTTCATTACCTAGTTCTTAAGTGCCAAAAGTTCTACAGTTTGCTAAAAATTAGATTGTATTATGTTCCTGAATAGAAATAATCCAGGCGTTTGGAATAGTTTACTGGCATTGTAACCAAAATTATTCAACTTCGCTGATGTTGCTTACAATAGAAACACTCAAAAAAACTTCATTTATTTTTCTGTACTTAAAGCATCACTTGCTCTGTTAACTTTTTTGTGTATACTTCATGTGACTCCAGTCACCAATTGTATCTATTATTATGCACTATTATTATGCACTAGTGAGCATGAATTAACAACAGATGCAAGATAATCAATAACCGTAATCATAATAAATATGATGGTGTCATGGAAACAAAGAATAGCAGCATTAAGCATGCTTCAAGTTCATTCATACCACTTCCAATGAAGTTCTCCTGGATAAGAAAACAGAAACAAGAAAATCTGGGGTTTGCAACATAAAAAGTGATTTTTTGATTTAACATTGAAGGCCACACCCAAAATTTGATGTTTCCGAAAACCTTCATGCACCTGCTTTTATACTGCTTTACGCTCAGTTTTAACATTACTTTTTTGCACACGATCGGTGTCAGGCTGTACAAAACAACAGATTTTCTAGCCAAAGATGTTTGGCAAGCCGCACACGTAGGGACTTTAATTTATTTTTGCGGGCTGGCTGCTACAAAATCACCATTGGGCCACATGTATCCTGTGGGCCACACTTTCCCAACTGTGTTCCAAAAGTATCTCTGCAGTTGTAAATTTATTAAATCGTTCCTTTTTTATATATAAATTTACAATAACACAAGTCTACAAAATATTGGACGAGGACGTGTCACACTACAAAAGTAACACTTGTGAGAATTCATTATTCAAATTACGTTAGCACAGTACTGTACACTTGCGTAGACAGCTTCATGACTCGGGACTTACAGAGTTATGGAATCTGTTTTGGTCAAATGAAGATGTTGGTTTATTTCTTATGTTAGGTGGTGACTGTACTTACATCATACCCTATGTTTTTTCCGGAAATTTAGTAATTATAGCACATAACACACAATATTTGATGAATTCTGTAAATCGTATTTAAAAAGGGCATGGTCAAAGACTTTTTATTATTGCTTTATTACTATTTTTATTATTATTACCAAACTAGGCCTACTACTTTGTTTTAAGTTTTATCCCTTGTACACTTTTTTAAGTAAGTTACAGTTTACTGTAGTACTATATAATGTTTTATTCATTGCATCTGCAGTTCATCATGATTTATGTGGTTTATTTATGTAGATAAACTATTTACATGTAGATGCAGTTCATTTAATTAAATATTTCCTGTTGTTAATTTGCCTTTTCATTTTCATTTAGTAAAGTGAATGAGGTATATTATATACCTCATTGGTTAAATTAATGACATGTCTAAATTATAGTTTAAGATAGCAGTATTAAATGTTATGCTTTAGAATATTCTGTTATATATGGCAATACTTGCAGCGTTTGGCCGACTGGGCTTCACGGAATGATGATCATTTAAATGATTCTTCTGGGCGGATCCATATGGAATAATGGTCGTCCACATCTGAACCCCCTACCACCCTATGTTAGAATACCTTTTAGTTAACAAAAAATTGTACAGATGTTTAGGTAAATAGTCAAAAGCCTTTTTTCTTCTTTATGGGTGGAGGTCATTTATGAATAATATTATTGTTGGCTTTAAGTCTCTCAAAATATGGGAGGATGACAAGACAGAAGACAGTTTCCCCAAGTTATTTAAACTTTATGTTATTTATTTACCCCTTCCTGCAAATATATAACATGGTACTTTGGGGTTCTTTTCTGAAAATTAGGGAAGGACATGCATATGCAAATGCATGACTATAAAATGGTAGATCTGGAGGGGGCAGGGTGCTCACGGCACTGCAGTCAGCCAAAATTTTTTAACCAAGCATAAATGACACCATATTTAAAAACCAGTGCTTCGTAAAACCGGTTGTCGCATCGATTGTGGCTTGGATTCCCAACCTTGAGGTCAGGGGTTCGAAACTCTCGCTGTGCAAGTTGCTTGTGTCCTTGGGCAAGGCACTTTATCTATGTTTGTCTCTATTGATCCAGGAGTATAAATGGGTACCTGGTAGGATGTTATGACATTGAATGTTTGAGTTTCGTGCGCTAAAGTAGTAGCGAACGACTAGGGATACTCCCCAGGGGGCAGAGAAGGTTGCACTTTGTGCTGGTTTGCCATTGTATGTTATCCAGTGACCAGGGATAATAACGCTTGCGCCTTTGATCATTCAATTTGGAATTGGCGCCTTATAAATGTTCGGATATTATTATTATTATTATTATCAAGGGGATATTAAGAGAGCCTCCCCAATCCTTAACCTTGGATGGTCCAACTCCTTATCATGCGTTTCTTGTCCCCGCCCAGCCATAAAAATTAATTCGACCATGGAGGTATTATTGAGAAGGAGATCACTCAGCAACATATCACCTTGGACGCGACAAACCAGGCATATTATTTTATTATTCACTTTTTTTCCCGTTTGAAACAACTTGGCAATGACATGTGTTTATCCGCTTCAACAGAGTGATAAACCTATTTTAAGTCATTTATTATCTTTACACAGTAATTAACAATGTTCACTGGATTTTTTTCGCACTATAGGTATGTTATTGAGTATTCCAGGAACAGATTCCGCAAAATATTTCTGTTACAATTACTTCTGTGTTCATTATTATTTTGTCTAAGGATCAATTGGTTCGACTATAAAGCTAAAGCAGCGTAAAACAGAAAATTACTCTGATTATGGACTGGATTTTTAACCCTTGTTAACCCTAAAATGACTTACTGTAGTTTATTATAATCCTCAATCATTCCTTAATTAATATCTGTTAAAATTAGAATTATAGAGTTTTATCCAATTTATGGAAATTCAAGTTGAAATATACCATACTTTTAAAGCTGATGTAAATGTTTCATTAAATTTGAAACCCTTTTTTGTTAAAAATATTAATATGTTTAGTATTTCTTGAAAGATAAATGCATTAGCTTCAAAGTGGAAATGATTGCGCAACCATAGTGATTGAATGTAAGTACTGTAGTGCACATTCAATTTGTTGGTAAACTATGTCTGCTGAGCATTTGGTGGCGGGGAACACATCAGACTTCAAAGGCATCACGTAAACCTTCTTCACGCCCTGCGGCAGCATTGTTCTTGGCTCATTTGCATAGCGCTGTGTGCGCATAGCTTTTTCGTGTGATCTCCTTCCCAATAATACCAAAGACACTAGAAATACAAGATAGAGCACTCGCACAGCAGAAATGAAGCGGAAATTGGTCCAGACGTACACGGCGCCCTTTTCCTTTAATAATGCAAGTTTTCTATACTTGGTCCAGACGTACAGACAGGGCACTCTTCTGTTGCTAAGTATCCAGACACACACGGCGCCCTTCTTTTTCCACTAATGGAGGAAAACGTTATCACTAATCAGAGTTTGGTCATACGATTCTGTGTTTTTGTGTAAGGATAATGGCAACTATTTCTACCTCTGCACAAGGAGGTTATTTTTCCAAAGTTATGTAACAGTGGCGGAAGTTTTTTAAATCCAGTCGTACGCAGCGCTCCATTGTTTGTATTCCCACATGCATTTCCGTGGAACAGTTCTTTTCTGTGGAGAACTCTCTTGTGTTTCTAGTATCTTTGATACCTCCATGATTCGACTCTGAAAATCGAAATATTATTAGGATTGCAACAGAAAATGAAAATAAAAAATGAAACCTACCAAGCATGCTAACATATTTCACCTCCGAAACCTTCAAAAATCTCGACTCGATGACTCTAAACCAACCGTTCGGGTAAACAGGAGGAACGTCTCCCGCTTTACGTCTCCTCTTAATATCATTAGCAACATCCTTTTTACTGACACTGTTCCCATCAATGATGTAACCAACATCACCTTGTTTACGGACAAAATACAACGGTGAAAACAAAATCTGGTACAGTTTGTACAGCACGTACGTTAACAGGGAATAAAAAAATACTGAAATAGGCGTTTGCCATTTTACAAACTCTAGTATATGTTGTTCTATAAGATGTCCTAAATCGGCCAGGTTTGAGCCCAACGGTAAGCCGAATATCTTAAGCCGCTCGCTCAGAGCCGGTGACGCCGTAACAGCAGCTAATGTTGCACTAACAATAATCAAAATAAGCGACACAAACCAGTTTTTCCACATCTTGCTTGTTACCTATCTGTGAGTGTTTAGCCCCTGAAAAGTTTACAGCTACAAATTGAGTATACTATTGAAGAAAACACTAAATCAACACGGTTGGGGCATATCAAAACAAGATCAAAACCGTACCTTGTTGCTAACCAAAGCGCGAATCAAACAGTGTCCTTTCCTTCCCCGAGTTCATTGATAAACCTGGATAAACTGAGTAATAAAGATCAGACTCGTCCACTATAATTATTAGGGTACATCTACTAACAGACCCAGTACTGTATAATTTACATCTCAATTTACAGATAGGTATTGACTAATAATTAAATTTAAAGACCTTAATGCTCATAAGGCATGGGGCCGGGTGGTATCTCCCCTAGGTACTTACATTGACAGCAAAAGAAATAGGTAAGGCATTAATGAGTATTTTCCGACACTCATACGACACTGGAATTGTTCTTGATGATTGGTTATTATCTAATATATCTCCCATTTTCAAGATAGGGGATAATGCTATACCAGCTAATTACAGACCAATCAGCTTAACACTAACATCGGTTTGCAGTAAAACTTTGAACTCATCGCTAAGTCTAGCGTTATGAAACACTTACACAAATATAATATTATTCATAGAAACCAGCATGGTTTTCGGAAAGGACATTTCTGTGAATCTTAACTTATAAACACAATATTATTGCTTGAAGTTTAGATAATAAAAAACAAATAGACCTAACATAGCAGACTTTGAAAAGGCGTTTGACAAATTCCAGAAGCTTCTTCCAGAAAATGCGTACATACGGAATAGTTGGGAAGACCCTCAAATGAATTGAATCTTTCCTTACTAAACGTAAACAAAGGGTTAACTGAGGGTAAATATTCGGATTGGGCTGAGGTCACTTCTGGTGTTCCGCATGACAGTCACTGGCGGCATGGGCTCAAGTTAGCCAACAATCTGCCAGCCAACAACAAGCCAGCCCACAATTCTATCCAACAATCAAGATAAGATACGATCGCGTTGGACTGCAGTTTCACTATTTACTTCTCCGTGGGTGCGGCGGCGAAATTAGCACCAATCTGACCACTGCTTGGGTATTTACCCAAGATCTTGGGTATTTTGACTTGGTCTTGGGTTCTTGGGTATTCCGTTCAAATCCTTGGGTATTTTATTTTACCTTTACTAAGAAAATTAAATATTTTTGTCATAGAGGAAGAATTAAGAAGTAACAGAGTATATTTCAGTCCATTCAAGTAAGCAAAACTCAACGAAGTGCACATAACATTGTTAATTGACTGTTAATTGCTATAAACATGGGTTCAGAATTGTTTATTTGTGATTTGCGTTGCCATTAATCTTACCCAATTAATGCATTACATAATAAAACTTGATCTCTGATCTACACTGATAACACTGGCCGACTGATGGCGTATTTTTCTATCCGTATTATTACCTCATGAATATTAATTTTAATAATTAACACAATTACAATATCTTGGGTGATTTCAACCAAGTCATTGGGTATATCCAGCATGACCACTGCTTGGGTATTTACCCAAGATCTTGGGTATTTTGACTTGGTCTTGGGTTCTTGGGTATTCCGTTCAAATCCTTGGGTATTTTATTTTTACTAAGAAAACTAAATATTTTTGTCATAGAGGAAGAATTAAGAAGTAAAGTATATTTCAGTCCATTCAAGTAAGCAAAATTCAACGAAGTGTACATAGCATTGTTAATTGACTGTTAATTGCTATAAACATGGGTTCAGAATTGTTTATTTGTGATTTGCGTTGCCATTGATCTTACCTAATTTTATGCATTACATAATAAAACTTGATCACTGATCTACTGATAACACTGGCCGACTGAGGGCGTGTTTTTCTATCCGTATTATTAACTCATGAATATTCATTTTATTAATTAACACAATTAAACAATTACAATTACAAATGGTTTATAAATTATACTAAAAATTGAAACTATACATGCGAAAAACACGGGTTTTTTTTCAAATTTTAATGCATTTTCAGGGAGCTTGGGTAATTTTGGGCAATTTTTGCTGAATCTTGGGTAATTTCGACCTAGTCATTGGGTATATCAAAAATTGTGAGTGGTCACGCTGGCACCAATTCTTCAATCTGATATTGACCGCTGCTGAGGGAATAAAAGGTGTGGGGGATGGGTGGATGGGTAACATTAATAGTATGAAAATTAGTGGATGGTGAGGAAGGGGAGGGGTCGGGACAATCGACGGGGAGTTGGGAACAATATTGTTCGAAAAAGACAGATAGTTCCTAAAAATCACTTAGGCCTACCGGGTGTTATCCCCTAATTATCGAGGTTAGGCCTAGGGTATAGGGACCGGAGCTCACGTTTTCTCCACCTTTTTTAGTTTTCATTCATTTTAACAGGCCTACTGGTATGCGCAATGGGTGTAAATGTAGATAATTGTTGCTTGAAAACGGCAGATTGTTTCTGAAAATCCCTTGGTGGGGATCGAGATGAGACCGGAGGTCCCGTTTAATGCCCCACCTTTTTATAATTTCCACTCATTTTCATATTGTATGCGGGATCGGTGTAGATGTTGGTAACAATTTCACGAAAATAGCAGATTGTTCCTGAACATCCCTTGGTGAAATTATGCTGCGATACCCCCTCATTCACCCCATTGAAGTTTGATGGGACCGGAAGTCTCGTTTAATAGCCCACCTTTTTATAATTTTCACTCATTTTCATATATACTGTGCGGGATAGGTATACATGTTGGTAACATTTGCTCGAAAACGGCAGATTGTTCCTGGAAATCCCTTGCTTGGATTATGGTGTAATACCCCCTCATTCAACCCATCGAATTTAGAGTGGCCCTTTTAATATCCCCACCATTTTTATTTTCACTCATTTTGGTACTGGTATGCGGGAGGGGTGTAAAATGTAGGTAACAATTTCTCGAAAATGACAGATTGTTCCTGGAAATCCCTTGGTGGGGTTATGATGTGATACCCCCTCATTCACCGCATCGAAGTTAGAGTGGGACCGAAAGTCCCCTTTAAAAGCCTCACCTTTTTATAACTTCGACTCATTTTCAAACTGGTGCGGGAGTGGTGTAAATGTAGGTAACGATTACTCGAAAACGGCAGATTGTTCCTGAAAATCATTTGGTAGGATTATGGAGTGATAACCCCTCATTCACCCTATCGAGGTTAGAGTGGGACCGGAGGTCCTGTTTAATAACCCCAGTACCTCTTTTAATAAAGTTACCTTATGTCATACTGCCATGCAGGAGGGGGATAGATTATTCGAAAACGGCATATTGTTCCTGGAAATCCCTTGGTGAGATTATGGTGTGATACCCTCTCATTCACCCCATCGAGGTTAGATTGGGACCAGAAGTCCTGTTTACTAGCCCCACCTTTTTATCATTTTCATACTGGTAACCGGGAGGAGTGTAAATGTAGGGAACAATTAAATAAAAACGGCAGATTTTTCATGGAGATCCTGAGTGAACATTATAAAAAGTTATATTAAACCGAACCTCCGGTCCGACTCTAATTGTGTTGGGGTGATTGAGGGGGTATCGGGGTATCACACCATAATCCTACAAAGGGATTTTCAGGAACAATCTGCCGTTTTCAAGAAATCGTTACCTACAATACACCCCCAACCGTATAAAAATGAGTGAAAATTATAAAAAGGCGTGGCTATTAAAACGGACCTCCGGTCTCACCACTCTAACTTCGATGGGGTGGTTGAGGGTGTATTACACCATAACCCCATCAAGGGATTTCCAGGAACAATCTGCCGTTTTCGAGTAATTGTTCTCCAAATTTACACCCCTCCCCCTAAAAATTAGTCCCACATGAAATTTAGTGGAAATTTTTAAACATTGGGTTATTAAACGGGACCCCGGTCCCACTTTTCGATGGGGTGAATGAGGGGATCACACCATAATCATATTAAGGGATTTTCAGAACAGTCTGCCTTTTTCGAGAAATCTTTACCTACATTTACACCCCAACAGTATGAAAATGAGTGAAAGTTATATAAAGGCGGGGCTATTAAACCGGACCGCCAGTCCCACTCTAACTGTGTTGGGGTGATTGAGGGGTATCACACCATAATCCTACCAAGGGATTACCAGGAACAATCTTCCGTTTCGAGCAATCGTTACCTACATTTACCACCAGTATAAAAATGATTGAAAATTATAAAAATGTGGGGCGATTATTAAACGGGACCTCCGGTCCCACTCTAACCTCGATGGGGTGAATGCGAGGGGGACATGCTTATTCTTAATCCAAGGGACTTTTAGGAACAATCTGTCGTTTTCGAACGATATTGTTTCCAAATTCCTCTCCTTATTGTTTCCCATCTCCTCTCATATTGTCCCTACCCCCTCCCCTCCCCGCCATCCGCACTTTTTATTGCCTCAGCCGTGGCCCGGGTTGAAGAATAAGTGCTGTTTTTAAAAACATCGCTAATTTCGCGGCCGCACATATAGTGAAGTAAATAGTGAAATCTGCAGTCCAACGCGATCGTATCTTATCTTGATTGTTGGCTGGAATTGTGGGCTGGCTTGTTGTTGGCTGGCAGATTGTTGACTAGCCTGATGTAGTTCCCCCAGCCCTTTGTGATCTGCATTAATGATCTACCAATATTATTACTATTATTATTACTTCACATATCCGACTCTTTGCAGAATACTGTATCCAAATCTCATGGTCATATGGGTCTCATGATGCTGGTGATTTGCAAAAAGACCTTGATAGCGTTTACTGCATGCGGTGCGGGTAGGACAAACCAGATGAAAGTTAACTCAAATAAAGTTTGTGTCATGATAATCATCCATGCACAAATATACACAAACATAATTACTTAATTGATAATACTGTGCCTAATGAAACTAAGGATCACACCACCTAGGAATTAACATAAATTGAAAGCTAAAATGGAATATAGGCCCTACATATCAAACATATTATCACTAAAGCGAATAAAATGTTGGGTTTTGTGCGTCGCAATTTGTATTCGTGCTCCCGACACATTAAAGACCTTGCTTATAAATCATTAGTTAGACCATGGAGGTATTATTGAGAAGGAGATCACTCGGCAAAGCTACGCGCACGCAGCGCTATGCAAATGAACCAAGATCAAAGTTGCCGCAGCGCGTAAAGAACGTTTGCGCGATGCCTTTGAAGTCCCATGTGTTCCCCGCCATCAAATTTTCAACAGGCATAGTTGACCAAAAAATTGAACATGACGAATTGGAGAGCACCTTCTTTTCTCAATATCAAACATATTAATATTTTCCACCAAGAAAAGTTTCGAATTTAATGGAACATTTACATGACCTATAATCTGTCTCTTATACACATCTAGATGTGTATAAGAGACAGATGCTAACTAACGTGAGTGTGACGTCACCA